GGTCTCAAGTTTTTTTCTTTAGTATGCTCTCTTTTAAAAATTTGAAAAGTCGGTATGCGCCGCATACTCACGCATACCCTCCACTACATCACCGATCATCGGATTTTTCACTGTTAACTACTCATTCGTCATTAAAACAAATTATCCGAATAACGGCGTATTGTTTACGTTGGCGAAATAGCGGGCTAAAGAGTCGTACAAGTGTCGTGGGGCAATTAGACGTAAACGAATTGGAGTACGCCAATTTGGCGTCACCTAATTAAAATGGTCCAGAGAAAACATATCCAAAAAGAAATAAATGATCTTACATCACAGAAGGCACAAGTAGCTGGTAACAATGTGCTGGTACGATACGATCCTTTTGTGACGAGAAAGGCCTATTACGCGTCGGAGGACGGTTGGCAAATGCGATTGTGTTAAGTGAATTTCAGCGGCACCCAATAGTACTTCCCCGTGACAGTAAGTATACACGGTTATTGTTTCAAAGTGAACATGAAAATGTATTACATAGTGGGCCACAGGCCCTCGTGGCGTCTATTCGGCAACGGTATTGGCCTTTGGGAGCACGCAGTATAGCACGAAAGATTGTGCATAGTTGCATCACGTGTTTTAAACAAAAACCTATAATAGTACAGCCGATAATGGGTAACTTACCGATCGAATTACGTGCAGCCGACCAATCTCGAGATGCGGAGTCGATTTTGCCGGGCCCATAATGATAAAATCAAGTTTACGGCGAAACGCGCCGTGCGATAAAGGCTATATAATATATAGTATATAATATATATCTATATGTGTGTGCTTTGCTACTAAAGCAATACATATAGAGTTAGTCAGTGATCTAACGACAAAAACGTTTTTAGAAACACTAAATCGGTTTTTCGACCGTCGCGGAAGGAGTGCGGTTATATCTTCAGACAACGCGACAAACTTCGTTGGCGCCCGCAGACAGCTTCAGGACGTATACAATTTATTTCAATCCGATCAACACCAAAACGCAGTTTTTGCAGCACTTGCGGAGAAAGGGGTTGAGTGGAAGTTAATACCGCCACGGTCTCCACATTTCGGCGGCTTATGGGAGGCGGTGGTTAAGTCCATGAAAAATGTATTATTTAAGGTGCTAGGTGAATCAAGCCTAACTTACGAAAAGATGAGTACTGTACTGACCCCGGGTTGAAGCCTGTTTAAATTCTCGTCCCATTACCTCCTTGTCGTCCGATCCACGCGATCTTCCTTATTTAACGCCTGGTCATTTTTTAATTGGTGATGCAATTACTTCGTTACCCGAAAGGGATGAAACGACTACGTCAGTGACTCCGTTGGAGCGTTGGAGAAGAGTAACTCAATATTCACAAATTCTATGGAAGCGCTGGAGTACAGAGTATTTGAGTCAACTTCAAGAGCGTGCAAAATGGACTCTATCTAAAGTGCCAAACTTAGAGGTAGGATCTGTGATGCTAATACGAGATACCAATTTGCCTCTTTTGCAGTGGCTTCTCGGTCGGGTCCTCCAAATCCATGCGGGAAGTGACGGAGTAGGTCGGTCGGCTTCCGTAAAAACTAACTTTGGGGAAATTACAAGGGCAGTCCGTCTACTTTGTCCGTTACCATTTGACAACAATCAAAATTAAAAAAAAAAAAAAAAAAAAAAATGTTTTTTATTCATTTATTTATTTGTTTAGTAACATTCATAATTATATATATTTTTGTTTGTTTTCTCAATTAATATCGTATCAGTTAAGTTTTTTTTAAATAGTTTTCGTTAAACATTTTTATGTATTCGGTCTCGTAGAGGGTATGTGTTTAACGAGATAACGACTTTACTGAAGAGTGTGTAGTGTGTACTTACGGTGTAAAGTGAGTGCAGTTGTATTATAAATTATAATGTATATACTATACAGCGTAAGCGAGAAGGAGTGAGAGACAGACATACCGACAGACGGAGGGGGGAGACAGACAAAGAAAAAGAGACAGACATACAGAGTAAGGTAGGAGAGACAGAAAAAAATCCAAAGAGAATTAAGATAATTTCAACTCGTTGAGACCCATTGTAGAGGTTGTGATAATGAGGAAAGTGTTTTAGACGTAGGTATGCGAAGAAGACCGAAAACGAGAGACCCGTCGACGGACACTCGCTGTGGGAAAGCCGGAGAAAAATGGTGATGGAAAGGAAAAACAATGGAAACCCATTCTGAATTAAGCGGACGTGGAGTCGATGTAAATATTTTTGCATATTCAACAATTTTTGTTATATTATTCAATAAGAATTTTACGTCTTCCCCAAAAACAAAAGCGCCGTATAAACTCTTTAAGAAACTGCCAATACATACACACATATATATTATATACATAATAATAATTGTAATGATGTGCGCTTAAGTCATCATATCTTTTTATATTCAATATATTATATATAATAATTATTAGTCATTAAGAATAAGATAAGATACATACATACACACACATACAATATTAGATATAAAGAGATCCGTCTTTAGTCACTGAACAGACGCGTTATTGTTGTCTATTTGTATAGACGGTCAAAAGCGAGCATTAAAAGACTACGCAGATCGTCCATACAAAAAAGATATATTAGTTGTAAATTTTTAAAATATATATACCTTAAGGTGTATTAAAAAGGTTAAATTAATTAATAAGTATTATTGTAAATTTAAAGAAAAAAGTGTTTTTATTGGTCATATCATTTAATACCTCAGATATTGACTACGGTTTCAACAGACAAGGATCAGAGGGGTAATATCATTTAATTTATAATATAATAGTTAATGAGTAATTTGATTTAAAGACATATAACAATCCACAGTTATTTTAGGGTCTATTAAATTCATTACATAATATTGTTAATAATTATCATTATTATTATTATTATATAGTGGTCATTGAAGGATGAAAAAACTCTCATTAATACCTAATTATAACGTTATATATATAAAAATAAAAAACACTGTGCGTGTACACGATGGATTTCCGGCGTATAAATATTTGGCTTCGGTGCGGAAAGAAACTTTTACCCTGCAAGGCTACAAACTGTATAAAGTATAAAATTATTGTTTTCATTATAAATGTTTTTTTTCTACCATCCAGGAGGTCGCCATCGACGTGAAGTGTAGTTTATCTTAATATATAATATTAAAAATATGCTTTGTCTTATTATTTCACATTAATTATTAAATATGAAAATAGATAAAAAATAATTATTATTATTGAACTTATAGATCATTTATAATATGATTTTTATATTTTGTCATCATGGAAACTTCGTGTCGTGAGCATAATTTTGTTGCCAAGCTTTTGGCCTTGTACCATCCGTAAAGAAGTTTCATTTCAAAAAATAACGTATTATAATATAGTAATGTATAATTATTATTATAATATCCAAAAAAATTTCAAACGATTGTATAACATTTATTATTCCATTAATTCCAGAAGCAAATTATGATGAAGCCTTTTTGAGTTTTTAAGTGTATTTTTATTAATTTTTATGGACAAATGAATACTTAGACAAATCTTATTGGACACACTGCTATGTAATAGTGAAGTATTCTGTTCTCTTTAAGTATTTATGTACTTAATATACTATAGTAATATTAGCACCATAATAATTGACATAGAAATTAATGTTATTTATTTAATAAAATAATGTTATATTTAATTATTATTCTCAATAATTGTCAATAATATAATTATACATTTAGTTAGCAATGTAGCGGATGTACCCACCTAAATACAAAAGTATACATTTATACAAATATACTAAGAATATTTTTTTTATTATAATAACATATTCAAAAACACATCAATACATTTAAAATGTAGGTAATATAATATTAAATATGTTTATCGTCTAAGTTTAAAAACTGTTTCATTATAATATAGTTCAATTCAATTTTTGTTTAACAATCAAAATTGAATTATATATTATTCTTTCACCAGTTAAAACTTAAAACCAATTAAACTTTTACATATGCACACACGTATAAATTGTTGAAAAATACGTAATTTACAAATTGATTGAGTTAACAAAAAATATCATCTCGTTTAATACAATAGAAAAAATAAACTAAACTGAGATAGACATTCTTAAGTTTTGACTGTTACTGTATGCGAGTAACGACCATTTATATAATATGGCGGGTGGATTCAAAAAAATTTACCCAACAATAATTTTTTCGTATGAAAAATGTTCTTCGGCAAACCGTATACTTACTATAATCTAATTATTACCAGATTGTACCGGACCATTTTTATCGACGTCGCAATAGTAACCGGACATGTAGAATGGTGAATAAAATTGGAAAACGAAAATCTACGATCCATATAAAATAGTATATAACTCGTATATATACTATATATATAGTATAAACGCATATCGAATGGGACCATTACATAACGTCGAACCTTCAAATATATTTATTTTCATCTCCCTCTCTTTGCCTTTTTGCTCGAATCGAACGACCTGTTTCTGAAATGATGACAAGGCGACTTGCCTTTAACACACCGGAAGTATCATCCGTCGAGCCGCGGAAGTCATAAACACTGCACAAGGAGGATTTTCGGCATTACACAGCCACTTTATTTATATATATATATATATTTCATTCTCCGTGTTATTACCGGATAAATCGTTGAACTGTTTTAAGTTCAGCTTTTATGGCATTCAAATGCGTCGAGTGTGCACTTAAATTGAACTCGATAGTAAGACGACTTCTTCGACGTGAATTTGGGTGGCATAAAATCGGCAAGTTAGGCAAGCTGTAGTTTTATAATGTGACAGGAGAGTTATACGGTTTTCCTTATCCTTTTATTATTATTGTAAAATATTTTTTTCGAATGTCAAACCTATAGTTGGAATTTTGAAATCAAAACAATATAATGAAATAATTTTAGGCAAAACCGTATAAGTCATAAGGCGTTTAATTATTTTTATTATAATAACGGGAACCCATTCCCTACCATTATTGTATATAATTGTATACGATAGTACCTAATGCAGTGCTCTTTGTATACAACCCGTTGTTAGATCTGATTATCTACAGACAATCAAATTAACATCGGACGTATTTTCGAATGCTGATTTAATAAGTGAAATATATATAGCTGGCAAACTGAATAGAATAACTACGGATTTTGGACAACCACTTGATTTCGTTTTGTTATAGCCGTTTATAGGTACCTATGGTCTCATACGATACACCAATGAAGACGTAATTGCGATACCTGGTAAATATATGAAACAAAATAGATTTTTCGCAGTGGATTTTAGAAAAGTACACTAAAGAATTACAGTAATTACCTATATATAAGTTACTTACAATAAAATGTTATTATCATAATAGTATTTTGTGTATGAGTGGTGTACAAAATATCGGTAACAATATTATTATTTCTATGCAAAAATGTATCATAAACACTATTGGCTATTATAATACACAACCGTATAGGTACTTGCACCCCCGATTTGTCAACGTTACGACGACAAATCGTTGGCCATCGCGTAGGCGCGAGCGACGGATTCGAGCAGACCGTTTTGTCGGGCGGCGTACGTCCGACCGACGACGACGGCACCCGACCACAAAACGACCCACATCGAAGACTTTTTGATGGCCGCGTCGAAAGCCGGCGACGCTTTATTCTTCGCGACCATCGATAACGCTCTTTCGACATTTCCACCGCCGCCGCCAACGTCGAACCGTCCTGACGCCACTGGTTCCGTAGTCGGCTCGTCCGTGGACAGCGGCGGCTTCGGCTGCCGTCTGCGACCGAACGACCGCCGCCGCCGCCGCTCCGATCCCCAACGGACGATGCTACTGACGCCACTGATGGTCTCCGTCTCCTGCCGGCGGCGTCGTTTGGTTCGCGGCGGTCGTTCGGGTGGCGGTTCTGTGTCCAACCGCGTCAGTATCACGTATTGCCACTTGTCGCCTTGCAATCGGTCCGGATCTGCCGGAAACGGTCCACTGATTATAGGTTTCTTCCTTCTGCTCCTGCATATGCAATCAAACAAAATAGACGTGGTTTGAGAACACAAGAACTACCTATACATACCTAGCCTAACCTAACCGTGTATTTCGACCCAATTAAATTTTATCGGAGATAAAATATCATTGAGGTATTTTCCGACGCAATTTAATTGGCTCCCCAATACAAGCAGTCAATATTTTACCCTTAGTAAGTACCTTTGAATTGGCTGCCTACTATTTTTTTTTTCAAAAATATATTGGTTACCAAAATGGCTAGGTTATATACTTATATATATTAATGCTAGGTAGACATTATGTCCTAGAGTAGTATAGCACATTTTTATAAAAGTTTATGTAATGTAGAATAATATTATAATAGTAATTTATTAAATTTTAATTATATTTTTATGCATATTATTGAAGTTCATTATGTAATTATATGTATAGGTATAAATATAATAATATAGGTATATCCTGCGCTATACTACTACATTTGAGTGGAAATTTCCAGACTTTGTTAGGTTGACGTCTTAAAAATAAACGCGTATAATATGAGAACCCCTGGTTAAATAATAATAATTTACAGTTTAGGGAGCCAATTCAAATATACATTTTTCAGGAGCCAATTCAAGACTCGAATTCATATTTGCCCAAAATTGGGAGCCAATTCAATAGAGCCCAAATGTTCACGGTTACACCCCGGTATCTGTCGCTTTCAAAATCGTTATATTAATAATCGTTAAAATAATAAAATATTTTAATATTCGTCCATCTACGTTAGGTGTTTACACAGCTGTAAAGTGCCTACTATACGGAACTATATATCTATACAGTTTATATGGATGTTGAATTTCTTTATATACGATACTGTATAGGCTAGGTAAACGAGCAGACAAAATTATACGGATTTATAATTAACTTGAGTCAAGTTACAGTAAAGTTTCGTTCCGGGGCAAATAGTCAAAACTGTTAATAGTATAAAGTTCCGATCAGGAACAAATTATTTGTTCCGTATAATACTGAATTCCCATAATGTATAGTATTTACTCGGCTCTAATGTAAACAATATTATTGTAGGGTTTGAAAATATTACTCTTCGTGTAAATTTGACATTGTGAGTTCGTCTATAGTCATATATATCATTATCTTTCTGTCGTGAAATATAATATTCATGTACAATAATATGATATTTTTTTGCAAATTTCAACCATCCTATGTACTCGGCTATACATTATAGCCGTGTCCGCCGTCGGGACGTATTCGATTTCACGAAGCGTACGACCGAATGGACATAAAGCATAATATAATAGTGATGAAGTTTATTGTTGTGTCAATATATAAGAGTATATGTGATACCGCGCCGAGGTTATATACCTTTGTAACATTTTTAATACATTTTAACAGCTCTGGGAATACCTATAATATATTATATATACCAGGCCCGTGCGTGGTTTTACGTTTACTTTGTGTTTTTTTTCTCTTTTAATTCCCCAATAAACAGCCCCAGCCCCAAGATACCTGCATAAAGTTTTGCAAACGATCGTCCATAATAAAACGCGCAGATGAAGGTTTCACGGAAAGGTTCGGAGTTTATTGACTACAGCGCGTCTTATTATATTATATGACTAAACCGTGTCACGCGTAGTTTTATGGATTTAATTTTGTCGTTCTCGCAGGACACCCATCGTAGTATTGCATTCTTCGGACCTATTCACTGCTGGCTGTCCAATAGTTGTTGTCTTCTATACACTATACAAAGTATAGTTTGTAATATTGGTTGAAATAACATACTATAATATCACTTTCGTGTTACACTGGTCGCTTTTTAATGTCAAGAAGTATCTCACAAAAAATTCCTCGCTTCGATTCGAAGGTTACAGAGGCGGACAGGAAGAAGAAGAAGATTTTATGCCAATCCGTTAAATACGTTAGATTATTTGCATAGTTGCACACCTATTTTTTAGTTATCGCATGACATCCATTAAATTGTGTTCATTGGACCTATATTAGCCCCCCTCCCCCCACACACACCAACTTTTCATTACTCTTTACAACCTTAGACTTTCCCTTTCTGTCTCCACCCTCAATTAATGAAAAATGTGTCCTTAGCATGTTTTAAATAAAATTTTAAAATGTATATCCCAGGGTTTAACAGTATAAATTTTAAAACGTTTTATTCAATTAAAAAATCATACATATAATAATAACATGAATAAATTTTATTAAACAATTTTTTTCTTGCCTGTTACCTTGTGGGCAAACTTTTAAATCAAACTCAATCATATCTTCGTCATATTGGAGTTAATTTGCTAACTTTGACTCTATAAGTATGGCTATAAGGAGTTTAACCTTCTATTCCAGTGAATCATAAATATTGTTTAAAAAAATAATAAATAATCTCAAAAAAATTGCGCCCCTAAAACTGTTGAAATTTTACCATTTGGTAGAATTCACTCCATTCACCCCTTCCCCGTAAGTGAGCCACTGAAATAAGTAATAACAAAATATATCACTGCATGTCGTATTACACTGTTCGCTGTTTAATAATAAGACGTATCTCACGAAACAATAATAATTTAATCCCTCGCTTATCCATTAGATTTGTTAAACGTACCTACCTCCTATAGTAAACGCTACAACTTTCCTGATTTCTTTTTTATCTGTTTACTCTTTAAGTAATTTTTATCTGTTTCTTTCTATCGTTTATTAATTTTATATTTATGAATCTATGAAAATTCCCAGTAGCATATTTTTTATAATGCGATGTAAACTATACGCAATTGATTAAATTATATGTTTTATAGGTATTATATCGAATACGGCTATTGATCATATAATTTGAATTTATTTTTGTATAGTCACCTAAACATAAACTATTATCGCAAGACAGCAAAAATACCTACTAAATCTATGTAGTCTTTAAAGTTTACTATTTTAATGACAATTGACATTTTATATGAATACATTTTTTTTAGAATAACAAATCCTATTATCTCAATTTATTTATTTTTTCACACCTATTGACACAAATAATAAATCCTATGAACATTTTATGGACCATAAATGTGTAGCTTGCCGCTTCGTATAATATTGTATTTATAGCGATTTCTTGTTGAATTTTGTTTCTTCCAGAATATGGATTTTATGATTACATTTAACTCTGTACGTGTTCAATTTTAGATTCCGAGTGCTTCTCAGAATCTATTGGTGATTACAATGATGTGTACGTTATTTTTTTTTTCTAGTATGTTCACCATCACGTTTTCGGATAGAAGTACTATAAAAACTTTTGCAAAAAAAATACTCAAAAAAAAAGTTTTCTGGTACGTTCGAAAAGTTTTTTTACATCCTGTACTGCCCGTATATATTTTAACACATTTTTTATAAGTTATAACAAAGAAATTAATATTTTTCAAATAGCGTGACCATAAAAAAAATAAAACTCAATACTAATTTAACTGTTTATTGTATCGCACTACATGATCTCTATACAAATCATCTCTATACATAATGCGGTTTTAAAGTTTTAAATTCTGAGCAAATAATGAGTAACATATTATTATTAAAATTACATTTTTATGAATATAAACAATTCATACGTTTTCCAATGAATATTATTATACGTAATACGAGATTTTCTATCGACGTCGTCGTTTTCTAAATACTATAGGGTAAAGGATTCATTGGTAGAATTTGAATGTACAAAAAATGATCTGATTCAACAATGTTTGCGCATAGTGGTGAAATGTGACCAGGAAAAAAGTTGAGCAAATACCAGCTAGAATATCTACCAAATATTTCAGTTTTAATTTTATTGAAATTATTATTTCTATACATAAATTGATCGAATTTTGAACAACTAGTTAACTGATTATAAGTATTTAGAAATTATTGACGCAGAGTAAATTGCAACCATAGGTGTGGTACTATCAACAAAAAATTACTCAGCTCATCTAATCTTGAAATACCTATCAGTTATCAATTTACAACTACTTAAATAGGTATATATCCATTTGAAATTCGATTTTTATGCATCGAAATACTCCAAGATTATTATTTTGCTTGAAAATGTGAAATTAAAAACACATATTATCATTAAAATAAAAACGATAATTAACAAATACAAATTTTTCAATAATGTTGTTTTCAATTACGTAAAATAATGTAAGAAAAAATATTTTCAAAATAAATTTAAACTTTTCAAAATAATTAGAGGAGACATTTAATGGATCAACTTGTAGGTAAAGCAAATGTATACATTGTAATAATATAATTCTGGGATTTTTGTTTACATTACTGTATACTAAATATATTTATTCGCCGGTAAACTTTAAAATACCGTCAAATTCTATAACATAGGTTATAATTCTACATTTTTCTATGGTTCTATGCATAGCCTCGATCAGTAATATTTCAACGAAATTGTACCAATACTTATAGGTAATTTGCAATATAAATAAACTTATATTCCTTTCATTTTCGTCTACAAAAATATAACATTCAACTTACTTAATGTGTTTGTTATTTTTTTTTTCACTCTTCTTGTGTTTGTCTGAATATTGAGTCCACTGAAAAACATGATAAGCAATGAGATTAATACATTGAACAGACATTATTTTTTTTTATTTTACCTTATGTTAATTAGGTATAACAAATGTATATATTGTATTATTATATTAATTAACATATTATTAAAGGTATTATTACCAACCATTTAAGAAACATAATTTTTATATCGATATATTATATTTAGCTCACACTCGCGTTATGTATAATTATTTGTTTTGTAAATTTATAAGTAATGCATATTAATTACAATAAGTAACTGTAAAAAAAAATATCTGAATCCGACACATCGAACACCATAAGTCATCATGATAATAATAATATTATGTAAAGATATAATTTATAATATATAGAATTAAAATATGGTATAGTTTACAATAGTTAGTGCTATTATTTCGACAGAATATTATTATATGTTATAGTTATACACATATGTAATAATGTAATGTGCATATTATATAGTGTCATAATAATATATTGCATTGTTACACGAGTGCATTAATATCAATTGACCTTAGACTATGCGTCATTAGGAGTCTAAGCGGGAGATTAATTTTTTTTTGGCAGATGTTCCATATTAAATAATCGCACCGAGGGGTTTACAATAAAAAATATATATATATATATATTATATATTATATACATATATTTTATATTTTATACGCGTAACATCAGAGAAGTTTCTTTTAATGGAAATTCACATTCAAGAGTCCGTCTATAAAGATTCAAGGTTTTCGTAACTATATTCATCACCAAAAATCAGTAACACTAATTTTTTTGTATTCTTGTAAAATTTCATACAAGCGTAACCAATTTAAATAATTTAACATGACGTAAATAATTTGTGAACGCACAATAATGACGATAATAATAATATACCCATTAATTTCCAGACACATTTTTACTCACTTTTTTTTCTTCAATTTATATATTACTTAATACGTTAAAATGAAATAATATTAAAAACTTTATTTACACATTACAATAAACGTATGAATACACTATCGTGAATTGATATATTATTATTATTATGTATAATATTATAAATGAATGTCACTATAGTTAATTAAATATAAATTAAATTTAGATTTACTGAATTTATTAAATTATTAAATTTTTCATTGTGTGTTGCCGTGTAGGTGTAAGTGTAATTAGCATATTGAAATTTAATTGAACACCAATTTTATTAAACATGATTTTTATTTATTATTTGTTAGAATTTTTAATTAGGACTTGTTCACTCGTATTAAATGTCAAAACTAGTTACGTTTTACTATTATGGTTCAAACATAATTTCATATTTTATAAATAAAATTAGTATTAATATAAATAATATGTTAAAAAAATATTATATTTAGGTATATCTTTACGCGATAAATTTAAACTTACAATTTGTATTTTTCGTTTTCGAATTTACATTTGTAAACTACAAAGATTAATTATTTACCAAGTCTGAATGACGTTAAACAATTTAACATAATTTATTTAGGTGAAATACACATATAAGTAAAAATATATTTTATAATAGATACGTTAATTTAACAAATTATTATTATTATATTTCACATTTAAAGTTATGATCGAAAATAATTTATACAATAGGCAATAACTTCAAAATTACTAAAAATATCATTGCTAAACTGTTATTCAAAATCTTGATAGTGTAGTTACATGTTCAAATTTAACATTATGCTTTTGTAAAATCGTGAACAATAATATTATTCATTCAGGTTTATCTATAACACTTACTCTATTTTGATATATCATATAGGTACCTACTGAGATTTGTCAAAATACTTGTAAGTATTTAATAATTCATATTTTTACCGCATAAAATATGTAAGTATATTTATTTATAAAAATTAATAATTTTGTTCTTACTCTCCATGCTAAGTTAATATAAGTAGCAAAAAGTAGATAATTGAGCAAATCTAATGAAAACAATCAATTATATAGTTTTAAGATAATGTAAACGTCATAGTTCATCTATAGCAGTCTATACAATATGAGTGATTATTAAACAGTGTACATAATAGACAATGATTATTGAAAATTCAAGTACATTTTGACTAGTTCATTATAGATGAATTCAGATGTAAAGCTTAGTAGTGCATTATAATATATTATGATATATTATGTTTCATAGTTACATTTTTATTGGCAGGTCGCAGGTACTAAACATATTTTAAATTGATAGTAATGTAATTTATTGTGTTTACTAAAATATTAATAATATTATAACGTTATCTAATATATATATATACAAAGTGTAACAGATAGAACTGACTTTTGGAATAACTTTTATTCCAATTCAAATTCCAAATAATCGAATTAATATTATTTTTTTTTCATTATGTCACCCATCGCTATATATATGATGCATTTTTTAGTATTTAAAATAAAAAACAATTTTAATTTAATAAAAATCATTTGGATAAATTTAAAATAGCCTATTTGTGAATCTGATTCTAAAAACTAAAAAAAATTTTTTGGTTTAAATTAATTTGCATGCAACGCAAAAACTTTTTTAGAAATAATGATTTTTGATAATTTGCTGACATGAGTATATTTCTAAAAATTATTTACTAATCATATAATATCAAAAAAATTTTCATACGATGAATAATTCATATTTTTATTATATTCATATATATTTTCATATATTCATATTTCATCATAATTATTAGCATATATATATATTTTTTTTTTTTGATCAGGTCTTCCTGTTACACTCTGTATATATATATATATATATATATATTTAAATAAAATACAACATATTAACAGTGATTATAGTTGAAAAAAAATGTTATGCAAAATAGTTTAACTCGTTTTAAGGTATTAGTTCGTTATATTTTTAAATAGATAATAATATATTGTTTGGATAGTGTGATATCAATAAAATTAACAACAGCCATTTGTAGGTTTGTTTTAAAATCTACAACTACATGATTTTAGATACCTAAGAGTTTATTATGATAAATCATTAAATTTATGAATCGTATTGTCTACATTGCCTGTATTGCTGGTTAATTATTTTGCTACTTAATCATGTTCGTAACATAATGAATATTAATCGTTTGTTTTTTTTTTTTGTTTTTTCAAAGACTCGACGTGTTGATAACAATCCAAACCAATGAGCATTTACCTGTTTGGCGTAATTGAAAACGATCTTCCGGTACAATCCATCAAACCCCCGCGCCCGACGTGCAGCCCTCGGTGTTTCGTCTCTACTCCTGCAAAGACCGCTGCCCATTTCGAACGGAAAACACTGTTCGAGAAGTTTGCTGCAACCGCTGTCCCGGACCATATACACGCCGATCGCCGGAGGGTGAATATAATATAATAATTATCGTGTTCTCGAGAATATATAATGTTATATATTAATATGTGAATACAATAATACTTTAAAGCTACACATCGTTATGATTATTGTTATTAGTACATATATAATTACGATTATTATCAATCTGCAAGAGTGCACGCGTCGGACTTCCGGGACGAAGGAGAACAGCGGACAAACAACGGCGCAACAACAACCACAACATTTACCGACGACCGAACGGACGGATTGATGCGGCGGTTGTATGATTTTATAACACAATATAATTATACATTATGTTAAGTAGGCATATGCGTACACGTTCGCCGTCTCCCACCATGTCTTGTCTACCGCCGTAACCGCGACCGCGGTCTCTCGAGCGTCGCGGACCGTGCAGGTACCACAATATATCACACCTATACAGTATACATATATTATATGCATCATACGGGATGCTGTTTTATTTATTTTAACCAATATTGCAACGACGTATTGCACGATTTCCTTTTATTTTTATATTTTTGCCGGCGTACTCCTCGTGCGTAGGTGTATAGTATAGGCACACAGCAGATAACTATACACACGCCGATCGCTCGCATTATTATGTCTTTATACACATCATAATATGTCAAGCTGGCTGAGGCACAGTCGTAATGAATAAACACGATGCGACGACTCGCGGCTAACGCGGACGTGATTCTGACCACGATTTCCGTAACACCCCCTCGTCCCCCTCCATCACGATCGCCCTTAATTATATACATATTATCAGGTCCGTCGTAAGACATTTTCCGCCCTAAAGCGAATAAAAATAATAATTAAATTTCTGTCTTTTTTGGAAATTTAATATTACAATTTGCCGCCTCAATTTTTTTAAATGTTATGCCGCCCYAAAGCAACGCATGGCTTGCTTGTACCCTAGCGACGGGCCTGCATATTATACGTTTGTGTATGGGTGCCCAATGCGGCGGTGTTCTCCTCAAACGTCCATCCGAATTTAAACGAATTACGGTATACCTCCCTACCATCACCCTCTCACTCACTCTCTCCGTCCCACACACCCACCCTCACTGAAAGCACGGCGGTGGCTGTACACGATGCGCGTTGTAAATTGGAATGTGTGTACACACTATATATACCCGTTTGCTAGGGTATAAAATCGATGTGTCCTCGACTAATAATAATATATATATATATATATATGTATATTATTATCTTGTATTCAATTCAAGAGTTTCCGTCAACAATCGCGCGCGAATAAATCAATTTAAAGGATTCGATTGAAAACTCTGTGCTCGCCGTGGTGTTCCTTTTTTCCCGATCACACGTGAAATTACGGCAAGTTTTTACGCTCATCGTATTATAGTATTATATTAAGTATAATACTTACGTAATAATATATAATATTATTGTTGTTACCATAAAATAATATTAACGTTCCTTGAAAAGGATAATAATGATATATAGGCATTCATTTATTACACTGCATTATATTCGAACCATAGACATATAAAACAACTAGATAGCCGACTACGGGATAATATTGAAGTCAACCGCCATATGCCAACAGGGCAATGTTTACAAAATCGCATGGTTGATAAGAATATTTATTAATGATAACAAAATTAATATAAATATTTTTACTGTAGTATATTATGTACTTAACACTACTTTATGTAATTTAATTTGTAGTTGACATTTTGACTATAGAATATGAAAAGAAATTCGTTTTTTCATTATTTGAATTATTATTTATTATCACTTATCAATATAGGTATCTTATCTATTGAGTTTTTATGTAAACATTGCCCTGTTGGTATATGGTGGACTGACTTCAACGTTCTTATGGGAATGTAATTCACAGTCGGCTATATCTAGTTGTTTTATATGTCTATGATTCGAACATCATCATCATTATTCATAAACAATACGAAACTTGCGAATCGCGTGTAAAGATTACAGTTATAATTTCATTATCCACACGTTGCAGTCAGATAAATAAAATATGCATATACGTTTAAAATTTCCAAAATTTTTGTAAATTTTTGCGGTTTACGAGACAAACAGGCTGTTTTTAAAACACACAAACAATATTACGCGTAATACCTACTCAACACATATTACAATGAAACAATACTATTATTAATTATTGTTAATTATAGTTGGATATATTGTCAAAGCTTTGGGCTTTGAGCCATTTTCGCAATAATTGTAAAATAAATAACAATTCCAAAACAGTTACATATTGCGTTTTAGTTTCCCGTGCGAAAATTATGAAAATTATATAAACGTGAAAATTGGAATTCTCCCGGTCTGTAACGTAAACCTCTGACAGGGCAATAACTTATACGAGAAACCGGACATCCGGGTGAGCCTGACCTGCACGGTTTCATCGAGCCTCGACTCGTAATTTATTGGCAAATTTTTGCAAAATGACGCCAAAAACACACCGAAATAAACAAAAAAAAGATGAAATTACTTGAATTTCATTAACATGCAGACCGGTAACAATTGATTACAAAAAAATCCTCTTATGAATTATTCAAAGCAGCAAACAAAATTGGAAATGCCAGCTTTTTCATTTTTATTCCTCGTCTCTTTTATGACGTTTCTCGTTCTGGCGAGCACCTTTTTGTTGGTCTCTAACATGGTGCATAGGAGAGGGGTGAACACTGTCAGATTAAATCATATAAGCGCCCTTTTCGATTCGACAGCTGCTTGAACTGAAGGGGAAGGGTTGGTGGATTTGAAAATTACATTAAGAAAACGTTGATTAAACTATGAATACTTGTGGCTGAAAATATTTTAACGATCGAATTTTGAGTATTATCTACTGTCTATATACCCTATACGGTATACTGTATACACATAATATCTTTCATATATAAAAAAGTTATTTTTGTAATTGCACGCCGCCCAAATTGCAAACTATTAAAATTAAAAACTCTCGACCACAATTTCGTTTACATGAAAACTTTCTTGACAAAATATGTATGGAGGTGATTATGTTTTTATACATCAACTTTCTTCAAAAGTCAATATAAACTGAAGTTTTAAAGAAACTTAAAGATGTAGTTTATTACAAATTTAAGTATTTTAACATAAAAAGTTGTTTGTCTAATATATTTAAAAGTAACAAGTACCTATACTTACATATTTATTTTCCTTAACAAATATGATAATGTTCATCATTTATATTTATTTATGGTAATAAAATCATTGCAATATGTTAATTTTGTTTACTGTAATTACACAAGAACAAAAACCATGTGAAAAAATAATTATTTGTTTGAATGAATAAAGCACTAAATTAAATTTAAAACCTATTGAATTCCATGATGGAGATAATACAGTCATATTATATTGCATTACACATTTTTAAGTATGCTTCAATAATTATTATTAGCCCATTTGTTATCAAAAGCGTATGCATTACTTCATTATATTATACTGTATATAATATGAAATGTTTATTTTATGTACAACACACAATCGGTATAAACACAGTTTACATTACATTACATAAGTGTATATATTTCAAATTATAATATATTTATTCGAACACTAGAACCTTTTTTTAACAACTATGTACGAAAAAAATTCATCATACTAAAAATATTCCAACAAATCGTAAAAACAAATAATCATAAATATTATTAATGAAATGTTACGAACAAACATAATTAGTATTTTATACACAACATTTGGTTTAATAAATTCACCGAACTTGGGATATTTCCGCCGAACACATTTCAAGCTGATGCAAGTTCAATACACCGTACAAAGCGTGACGCATTTTCGACTTTATTGTGTCTGCTCATTTAGTAAAACTAAAGGACGAAGTAACACAATTAGTTGATTGCGTTGTAGAAAAAAGTACGCAGTGGCCATTTGATATGATTATTATACGCCTATAATAAAAACGTATATTAATTAATTTAAAAAAAAAAAAACGTTCAAACCTTTTACTCTCATACTATACGTATATAATATAAATTGTAATCAATGATTGTATTAGAAAAATTGTACACTTGGAATTTCAGATTGAGAAAAAAATCCAGTCGAGTGTTTTTCAAATCGTTTTGCCGTCGTTTGTCACACGACATCGTAATTGCCACGCTCTATAACAATAATAATTTATACGTCATTTGCAGCGAAACATATCACCTAACGATGTGTTATCAGGCAGATAGTTAAGGAGAACATAAACGAATCAACGATGACGTTAAATTGGTGAGCACACACAAACTACAAACCCACCCTTATTATCGGCACGCGCCGATGACTGTATAATATATTATATCGACTGTATAGCTGCGGTACGTCTTATATAATATTATAGGCACCTCATCGCCGTAACACACGGATTGTAGGTAGGTATGTATATGTGGGATAAGTGTAACAACCCCTTCCCCCTCCCCTGGTGCCCCGTTTATCGGAACATGAATAATAGGTATTATCAAGTCGATTTGTTTGGGATTTTTTTTTTCTTTCAGTGACAATAAGGAGATAACCGCGTATAGAATAAACTGTCGGTAGGTCATCACCGTGTGTAAGACTGTAAAGGTAATAACAATAACAATATGTATGACGGAAACGTCTGAAGCATTGGCACACGCGAATTATTGACGTCGGATTTACAGCGAAACACGCGATAATGCCACGACGAGATTTGCAACTTATGTATAGCACAGATAATGCCATTGTGGAGAGGGGCCCGGATATGGTGTAGCAGCGCCGGAAAGAACAGACTTCGAACATGTACTTGACGAACAAGTTTAAGCCTACTATTCCTTTATAGCTGTATGTCTGTATCCCGGCGGATTAACAAGTTTTCCGATCTCGCCCGCGTGGTTTTCATCTATATTATTCTTGCAGCTCTCGCACTCTACGGTCGTTTCGGTCTTCCGATTCGTCGGCCAACTTCAGCAACACTACCATACATGGCGCTCTACGTCATTGATATATGTAAATACATATCATATATACATATATATATACATGACACACTATGCCATTATTTCAGAAAACACAAACGCATTTGAAAATGCTTTTTTTTAAATTTTATTCATTACAAAATGACATTTTTGAAAAAAATTATATTTTACTATTTCATATCGTATAATAATCTGACAAATTTTTACTATTTTAATAACAACGTATTATATTTTTGATTTCATATTCAAAATTAGAATATATTCTTTGGAGTATTTTGATATATAAAAACCACATTTCTGACGAGTAACAGT